CATATTTTTCTTTTGGCGATTATTCTGGAAATTGATCCAAGGCTACCCATTCCAATCCACTTGTCATCCCAAAAGCGAATGTTATTACCCCACCCAAGTTTCCAATGGACACAATCCGAAATCTGAGTTCTCCCCGTTTCAATCTTCCTTCGTAAACCCATTTCATGAGGCCTCACCACCTCACAAATAGGACTTTCCCCTATCTCCCCAAGATTTAATTACATTACATAATTTGAAATAAGAAAATCTCAAATTATGATATTGAATAATTGATGGTGGCTCAAGGAGATTAAAAAGCTATTTATATAATATGAAATAAGTCTTTCCGACGTAGGGTTAGATTAAGAAATAATAATACTAATAAGATTATAAATGCTACTTCTAATAAGATAGGAAATACTAATGCTATTGAGATTAAAAATAATACTAGTGATACAAATAAGAATTATTAAAACTACAATAAGTGACTCTTAATTAGTGTAGTAGTTTTGTATTAATATAAGTATGATTTCTAATCTATTTAAATAATCTATAGCAAATCTATTCTATAGTATTCTTCACTAGTTGGAGAAACCCTGATCATGAGTTTTGAAGTGGCAAATGATGCAAAACCTTGATATTCAAGCTTAAAATGAAAATTTAACAAACTATTTGCTATAGCAAACATAATGAGAAACAAATAATTATTTATGACTATGAAATCTTGATGGTAGGACGAAATCAAAAGGTTGACCAATTTGTGCTTTAACTTCATCATTGAATTTAACATCACTAGATCTAATTATTGACTTAGGTTCCTCCTTGCATTGAACTTCCGTAGAACTCTCTTTTAAGAAGTGAAAGGTCTTGAATACCCTCAAGATCTTTACTCTTTGGAACAAATGACAGTTTTTCTTATTTCTCAACTTCAACAAGCTCATTTTTTTAACATCTTTTCCGTCTGTAGGTATATTTAATCATCTTTTTTGTAGTCTTTATGCCAAGCATAAAATGCTAAGTATCGCTAGTCATTTCATGCTGTACATATCAATCATAAAGATAAAATCGACTGAGAAGAATGTATGTGAACGTTATTGGAACTATATCACATAAGATTGAACTAGTGTATGTACCATGACAAGTAGAACAAGACTCTATTGAGTTACTAAAATCTCGTATTATCCGTCCATCCAGACTAGTCTATGTGGTCACATATGCGGTTGCACTGAGAGATTGAGTCATTCAACTGATAAATTGAAACAAGGTTCTTGCTCGTAAATGACAAGTTCCTTACTTTTATTTTGACAACGAGCAAGAATTTGAAAAATGGGAGAATGATTTCAATCTTCCTTCAAGTTAACTATTTGGTTGTGCTTAACTATAACCAAGACAAACTTGTCAATTTTACATTCTCGAAGTGATGATTCGTTCTCTTCAAGAATCCACTTGTTTAAAATTTTTCCATCATACTAACTTTTTTCAAGGAGGATTGCAAAGATAAAAGGAGTAGACAAAAATATATGAGAATTATTTTGAACTGCTGAAAACCAATTTGGAAGGAATAAACCGGTACGGGTGAATCGATTTGGTGAAACTCTGTTCAAAAACTCAGAACAAAGCACAAGATTGCAGAGCCCTCTTGTATATCAGACGTGCGTGAGACTCACATGTCGGATTCTGATCGCCTGACTGCGGCTGGGTGTTTGATTTACCAGTTGACTTAGGTCATCCACTGCCATGTTGGAGTATGAGTTCTCTTTGGATTACATTTAATTTCGTGTTTAGTTTTATTTATTCCGGATTATTAAATGTTCGGATGCTGTAACACTGCATCCCATATTGATAATGCTGTAAGGAAAAATGTACTATATACTTGTGCCTGAAAGCCTCAAAAGTACCAACATTTAACACTTTTGAGCTATGGGCCTTGCTTTTGTTAGACTTCTGGTTTTACAACATGTACTCAGATATTTATCCTACCATTCCTTGTTCAGCATGTATATCTTGATTTGCAGATGGGCATGTTTCACTGTTTCTGCTCTTGGTTTCAACTACTAGTACTTTTTTGCATGTCCACCAGGATTTTGATACTGCTGATGCCATTGGGTTCAAGTCCTACAATGCTTTAATGGGGGAGCTTGTTGCCCTAGAAACCCAAAAGACTGAAGGTGAATATAAAATCAATTCTGGAGAGGATTATGTTGATTTTGCTGCTGCAACAACTGCGACCTTAGGGGTTCCTTCTCCGTCCCTTTCAAAAACTAGATCTTTTGATGATTCCCAGCTTACAGACTCTGGTAACAGAAAAGCGAGAAAAGGGGATCTTGAAGAAGAAGCAGAGTTATTGAGAGTGTTGAAATTGTCGGAGACTGCGTTGCCAACTCAAGTAGATGATTCTCTTGTAAGCAGTGCTAATACAGGAACCATGCCTCCTGCTGGTTCAGATGAGATTCAGTCCACCAAAAAGGATGTGCTTGTTAGTCCAGATGAGCGTCTGTCTACTAAAGAAGATGCGCTTGTTGGTACTGATAATACATTAGAGCGGCATATTGATTCAGAAACAGTGTGTTTTCTGATCACTGATAATAGTAATCAGACATGTTTGAAGACGAATACAGAACAAGAAATGTCTGCAGTCCCGGCCATAGATGGAGGTGTTTACCTTGATCTGTCATCTTGTACAAAACCTAGAGAACAAGGAATTTGTGATGTTGTGGATAAGAAGAATAGTTGTGAGGCACTGATGGTTGATAAATGTAGCATTCAGTCAACGGTGGGGAACATCACCGAGATGCCAGTTGTTGTTGAGGATGCACCTTGTATTTCTCCTGATAAAGGTAGTGCATCTGTGAATGATAACAGTGTGAACAAATCTCAAGGTGATGATAAAGTTGAGTATCAGTTTACTTCTGTAACTGGTTTTCATGAGCCAGTAGAAAACGTGTGTGTTTATGATACAGCAGAAGCATCAGGCTTAAGCATGTCAAGTGGACATTTGGATTCTAGTGGCAGATTGCAGCATGATGTACCTGAAGCTTTTACCTCAAGTATTGATGGTAGTGAGCCCATATATGAAGGCGAAGAATGCATATTTGATTCAGGATCTATGGCATATGAAAATAGAGAGCCTGTGTATGAAGGTGAGGTAATCCTTGCAGAACAAGCTGATAACATTGCTGCGAGTTCCAGTGCTGCAAGGGCTAAGGACGGACTCACTCCAGAACAAGGTAAGTTAGTGCTGCATATCAACCAACTTTAATTTTTGTTTAGGGTTTCTGTGCATAAAATTAATGTGCTCTGGAATTTGCTCAAAATTTGTTTTCAGGAGAAGTGATAAGGATTTTTTTGAAGAATAATGCTAGTCAATTAACCTTTTACGGGTATGTTTATTTCAGTTATAAGTGTCCTTTCGGAATTCCGGTGTCGTTGTTCTAGGTGCTGAGAAGCTTTCTTTGCAGTAGTTATCTTAAAAAAAGCTTTCTTTGCAGTAATTAGTACACATTTCGCAGGCTTTTCTGCTTACAAGATGGTCTAAAAGAGCGTGAGCTTTGTGTTTTTTTCCGTAATAATCACTTCAGCACCATGTTTAAGGTCAGTTACATGTTGCAATACACTTTTATGTTTATGAACTGCAAAGTAGTTGCTGGGACCCAGATTTTAGAAAAAGATAGATTTTAGCTGAACTTCCAATTTTTCCTGTTTCCAAAAGGGGTCTTCTAATTTCTGTGTTTGCAGTATGATGGTGAACTTTATCTGTTAGCTACAGATCAAGGTTATCTAAATCAGCCGGATTTGGTCTGGGAGAAACTAAATGAGGTACCAATATTTGCTTTTCTCCTTGCTTAGAATCATCTCACTGGCATCTTCATCATCAAGGGAAACAGGAATATAAATATATATTAATTTATAAACAGGAATATAAATTTGAAGCACTGAATTTTCTCCTCGTTGAGATCGGACTACTATGGAGTTATCATGTACATTCTCTCTTTGTAAATCTTGTGCTGCCATGATTTCTGGAAAAAAAAAACAAAAACAAATCCTATAGACTGCTTGATTTGGCTTAGTAGAATTTTTTAAGAAGAGAACTATTCAATGTGGGGTTGCCACCTATGTATAACAAAGCTTCACAAAGAAGAAGAAAAGTGTTATATGAGGCACTAGGTGTGATGGACTGCCATGTGCTCCATGATTTCTGGAAAAAAAAAAAAAACAAAAACAAACCTTGTGTTTTAGAGTCAAGATGCTTCATTTGCTCTTCTTTTAGGGTGGATGGGGGGTTTTTGTGGTGTTTGGGTTGAGATCTGCATAAATTACTGTCAGACTGCCTCACTAAATTTTGCTGTTTTTCTTTTCTGTTTATGGTTCTTTCAGATGGAAGTAGGAAAACAGTTTTGAGTTGATAACCAATGGATCTCTTATGTGTTTACAAAAGAAAAAGAAACCAAGGAAAAAAACAAGATTTTCTAGTTCAAAATTTCTTGCACTGATAAAGTTTAGTACACTATTTTCTTTCAGGTCAACGGGGATACATTGTTCATGACAGGTAACTTCAAGGAGTTTAAGGTAGAAAGTCAAACAACAAATGATGCATGGGATGAACATAATGTTGTGGCCAGTACTGCTGTACGTTTTCTTTCTGCAAATTTTCTTTTTCGAGCTTGTCCACAGTAGCTTAAATCAACTAATTGAAATTTACATGCCTCAGGACTATCTTGCAAGCATTGATAGTGCAGCACAAGCGGGGTTGGATATAAAGTAATTATTTCTAACATTATGCTATATTGATATTTTGGTTGCCAGTTTAACTGTGCACATAAAACTCATTGGTATCGGTAGTCTCTTCAAATTTGGCTTGTTTTTTTCGGAGTGCTGTTTATTGTCAGTTTTCACCTGACCTCAAAATGAAACTTAATTTAAATTGAACTAAATTAAATTTTGAACAACTTTTCTGCTCTTTAGGTATCTTTAAAAGAAAAACTTTTCTGCTCTTTAGGAAGAGAGTTTCTTTTAGATTGATTATATGGTTTATATGAAATTATGTTTCATGTTTAAAATTATATATACTGTTGTTGCAGCTCTGATCTACAACTAGCCATTGCTCTGCAACACCAGGAATTTGAGCAACAACCCCAGCGTCACAATTCGCAGCAACCATCAAATGGTAGTGGTTCAAAATTGATAACAGGACCACAGGTAGGTTCACCCTGCTTGCCACATGATTTCTTAATTGTTAACCTTGTGTTTACCACTTAGTCCTACACCGGATTATTGGAGAGATAATACTATCTGCCAAATGCTATGGATGGGTAGAGATTGGTATTTTACTTGGTCCAGCTGGGTTGACCATTAGGTGCTGGATTGACATCTTACAAGTAATTATTCAGAAAATTACAAAAATATGACTTGTATTAGGTTATTCTATGAAAAATATGACTTCATTTTGAAAATTTTCAAAACCATGACTTGTTTCGTTCACAATCTAAAATGACGAAGAAAAACATGACTACAATAGATTTTACCTTAAGAAACGTTAAAATCCATTGATTATGGACTGGCCTGCCAAAAATGGTAAAGACACAATCATCTCCTTCCTCTCCTCTCTCACTAAACCTTTTATTTTCTCTCTTATTGAAGCCTCCATGTACGTCTAGTAGTGACATGCTCCAGACAAAAGCATTAGTCGACACTTGAAACCTCTCAACCTAGACTCCTTCCTCTACTCCCATTGCTAA